TGTCACGACCCAAACCCGGCCCTATGGGTTTAGCACCGTAACCGGCCAGTAATCCGAGAATTACTGAAGGCGTGCTTAACAGTAATATAGTAAAACAGAGTACAGGGCCTGGCAGAAGCCAAAATAGTAAATAAATAATGTCCAACGAGCTGTGACAGTCTGTACGCAAAAAGACTTTTCATACATATATACAAGATCAATACAGAACCGTATGCATGATATGTACAATCATTCAGACTAGGGACTCGATCCCGGCATAACAGTACAGTAAACATTCAGTCTATACAAACAGTAAGACAGTACAGAAAGGGGAATTGTAAAACACCCCTAAGCCTTAACATAGCAGGCTCGGAACCTCGCAGTGAGGCACGGTAGTTGGCTTGACAAAACTGGAGTAACCCTGACGCTCCTAGCCGCGGTTTGGTGCCTGTACACCTACATATATATATGAGCAGTGAGCTAAAGTCCAGTGAATAACATAGTGCGTAAAGGGGTTACGAATGAATGTCCTTATAGTACGAAAACAGTTCATTTAAACAGTATTTCAGTTGTTCAGTTAGTACAGTCGTATGTGGTGCATCCATTAGCATAACAGTATAGTAAATAGTAGGTCTTAAAAGACCGAGCAGTAAGTGATGGCCATTAGTCAGTAACAGTAGTGGTTCCAACAAGGGAACTGACAGAGATCTCTGTAACAGTAACAGTAAACAGTAGGTGCTAAGGATGCCACAATACAGTTCAAAATATATGACATACATTCATTCAGTTAACAGTAATCAGTTCAGAAAACAGTACAGTTCAGTTGTTCAGAAGATAATCATTTGTGAACATATCTTTACACAATCGTTACTCACAGAGTTTGGGCTACAATATGCTAGAGCGTGTCTCCCCAGTCGCCAACCCTACACAGTTAACAGATTGAACACACTAAGCTACACAGTTGGGAAAGATAATAACTTAATCCCTAATTTGCCTCGGTGTGTTCTACATCTATGTCCTCAACAAGATGCCTTAAACTAGGCCTAAGAATGCCTAGGATGGAAACGAGGATGCAAAGATGTGATCAAAAAACAGTTTTAGGATTTTCAGAAAAACAGAGTCCCGCTCGAGCTCAGGTTTCCCCGCTCGAGCGGACATGCAACAAAGGTACACGCTCGAGCGTCAAATCCCTCGCTCGAGCGTGCTGTGAAAGTACTGGATGGGTGAAATCTCCGCTCGACGGACGCTTGACACCCGCTCGAGCTTGAGACACATGCCTCTGCTCGAGCGTCCAATCCTCCGCTCGAGCGGAGTGTAAAACAGTGCAAGAGATACTGGATGCTCGGATTCCACGCTCGAGCGTCACTTTCCCCGCTCGAGCGGGAGTGCGAAATCTGGAAAACCCAGATTGCACCTCCAAGCTCAAACTCACATTCAAATGCATCAAAACCAATCCTCTTGGGCCCATTTTCTGGAAAACATTTGTAAACACATGGGATAACGTGGTTCAAAGCTCAATTTGACAAATCAAAGCCCAAGGGTGTTTAATTCAAACTCAATTTCAAACCATTTTTCAAGAACAAGATGAACATGCAAACATGCATGAATTCAAACCAATTCAAAGCTTCAACTTGATGCTCTAAGGAGCCAATTGTTTCCAAAACATGATGAAATCATGGACTTAAACATAATTGTGAACATGCATGTAACATTTTGCCATGAAAACAACTCAAAACTCAACAATCCAAACATGCATGCATGAATTATGCTCTATATCAACATGTATGAACTAGAACATGACTTAGCTCTACAATTTAACATGGACCATGCAAGAATTAGCTCAAACACAAGAATGAGAAGATGAAATTCTACCTTAAGTCTTGTAGTTCAAGCCTAGAAGCTCAATTAGCAACCTATACTTCAATTCTTCAAGCAATTCTACAAATGAACTCAACTCTCTCACTCTCTCTCTCCCTCTAGGGTTGGCTAAGGCAACGAATGAGCTGAGCAAATGTTTTGTAATGCATAAGAATGAGTCCTCAAAGTATTAAGTAAGCGACCCACTAGGATGGCAATTTGGCAATTAAGCCTAACTCTTTAATTAGCTTATTTTAATCTATTTTAATCATACCAAATCTATTTTCAGATAAATACACCATAAAATCACATTAATTACGATGATCATAAAACACTAATCGATTTCTGGTTCGGCCGTCGATAAGGCCTTCAATTAGCAGTTTAAACACTAAAATATGAATAGATCAAATAAACAATCAATAGATAGAATGCAATTCAAACAGATGTACTCAATCAATTCAGTTTCAAATTTCAGTCAGTCAGTTCAGTATTTCATTCAGTTCGATTATCAGTCATAATCAGTTCAATTTGACGGTAATCAATGTTTATCGGTAAACAGTGGTGAGGGTTATTACATGTGCGTTTTCTTATTATTTATTGGTGGATTGGCTATGCTGTGAAGGAGTTAAAGAGAGAGGTATTAGTATTTAATAATGGATTTTCTTGTGTAAATGGGTTGCTGGGAATTTTTTGGTTGCAACGGTTGATGGAAATTCTTGATCCTAAAAAAACATAAACTTTAAATTTTGAGGAATCATATCAAACGAATGAATTTTGAACTGAAATTTTTACATTAGATCAATTAATTGAGGTATTAAAATCTGTCCAGGAAACCAGTACGGAACAGTAAATTTGGAAGTGTTGTTCTCTTTGGGTATAAATCCAAAAATTATCAAATTAGCGTCATTCGAACCGGTTACGAGTCTGGTTTCTTGCATTTTTGACCTCGCGTTGATTGCTCATGTATACTAAGAGAACCGTCAATTTCTTTAAAGTGCTGCAGAAAACAACTTGTTTGGATATAATAAGTTGTAGATAATTATTTTGACAAGAAAATCAATTGAAACCAATTGCGTTTGGAATTTAGGATATATTAGTTGATATCTGGAGGGTTTTAGAATTTTTCGAACAACGTGGAGTGGGTTTTTAATTTTCAAAGTTAGCGAATAGATTGGAAAAACTTTGTTTTATCTTAAAGTCACTCTTAGTTAAGTTTCGATCGGAACCTATGTCTTGGGTGATTTTAGACCTTGAAGAACATGAACTTAGGTAATATTTAAGAGTAACTGTGAGTTGGGTTGAGCCGTGTTAGTGCGATTTAGTTTGGGGCTACTTAGTTCTCATTCTTTAGTATTTTTAAATTAGTAGTGATGTGTAGTTTTCATATTAGTTCAGGGCACTAGTTGGAGTTTCATACTTTATTCGAGGATTATATTATATCGTTTTCAGGTGAGTAGTTTCATGCTACATATTTTTATAAATGTTCCCCAACCCTGAACTATTGGAAAATTAAATTGTTGTTTCATGACTAAACTGTTTTGATAAATTATTATATTATCAATTGAACCAAATTATTTCTGAAACATGTATGAACTTGGCATACTGTAAACTATTTGTTTTGGTCTCATGTTTATAATGATGAACTACCATATTTTGCGAAACTGATGTGTATTGATTATTGGGACCATATGTGTATTTAGTCTAGGGAAATTATTCCACTGTGTGTGGTGACTCTGGCCACTAGGGAACAGATCCCGAGTTTGGCCGTGATGACTCTAGTGCTCAACGATTGTAAGGAAAAGACCTGAAAAAAAACTAGGTGACCTTCAATTGGATCGTCTTTGAGAAAAGGCCCAGGTGCCACCCTGAGGATGACTCGTAGTTCGGTATTGGATCCAACAGGGCTTATAGCCTTGAGAACTGTGTGGAATATTACTTGTTATTTTCTTGGTACTCGGAAAATTATTGGTGTTCATGTTATAATCTATTTTAAGTGGAAATGTCATTTATCATGTTCTTGCGAGACATGAGTATTTTAAGTGTTGAACTATGTAACCTTCTTTTTGAAACAGATTGTATTTAACAAACTATATGCCAATCTAGTTTCTGTGATATATATCTTATTTTGGAATTGAACCCTATTTTCAAAACTGTATTTACTATCCATGTTGCTACTCACTGAGCTATCAGCTGACTTAGTTGTTTACCATTTCCAGGTGTTAGAAGGACTTAGAGTGGACTCATGGCGTAGCGAGGACTCAATTGCATGGACCTCTAGGGCATTTATTTAATTTGTTTTAGGTTGCTTTGTCGAGTTTTGTGCATACATTGTGGTTGGATTTTATTTAGAATTATTTTATTTTGTGGGCGGTTTGTGTCCCATTAAGTATATATATATTTTTAGGAAGTTGGTTATGAATTGTTTTTCACTTGTGGTATGTCACTGGATTGAGTGTTGATTTATTTATTTCTGGGCTATCATCACATTTATTCTTTATGGTTTTAGGTTCATGTTTAAGCTTACGTGTGCCCTGGGCTAAGTCCCTGTGGGCCACGGCCGGTCATTCCCGGATTTGGGGTGTGACAATTGTGGTATCAGAGTTGTAGTTATCGGTTACATATCTTGCATTTCATCATTTAGACAAGGTCCAAGTCCCTATAGTCCTTAGTAGTGTTTGGTTAAGTTAGTTTTATTTAAGCTTGTGTTGAGCTTTTCTTAATTTCGTTTTAAAGGTTAAGAGATGGCACCAAGGAGAAGAAGTGTCAATGCTCTTGGAACTGATCAACCAGCCACTAATCGTAGAGTTTCCCCTGTTCCTATACCCCCTACCGTAGAACCTGTTGCTCCAATCGTCCTTGAAGCACCAGGAGTTGTTCCTGCTGCACCAGCCGCACTGGTTTTACAGTCATTGTTGGGATTACTGAACAATCATGTAGCCCCACAACCAGCAGTTCACCCAACTTTAAGTTTGGATAGAGGTTCCTTGTTTGAGAGGTTTATGAAGGAAAAACCTCCAGAATTTCACGGAACAGTGGACCCTACGGAGGCGGAGGCGTGGGTACTAGAGAGGGAGAAAATATTTGATGTTCTTGGCTGTTCAGCAGATCAGAAGGTGGCCTTTGCGGCTTTTAGGTTCAAGGGTCAAGCAGAGCATTAGTGGCGCATGGTGAAGCATCAATATGAGGGTAGAGAAACAGAGCTAGTGTGGAGCAAGTTTCTAGAATTGTTTAATGAGAAATACTTCCCTGAAGCGGGGCGAAGGCAAAAGCAAGTGGATTTTCTCAATTTGAAGCAAAATGACATGTCAGTGGCTCAGTATGAATCCAAGTTTGCGGAGTTGTCGAGGTATGCCCCGCATCAGGTGGCCTAGAGGAAAATAGAGTGATGTTGTTTGAGAATGGCTTGCGGTCAGAGATATATGCAAAAGTAGCTGTTTTTGAGATGAAGACATATTTTGCATTGGTAAGCAAGGCATTACTAGCTAAAAGGAGAGTAGAAGAGGAAAAGAGAGCTGAGTTACAAAAGGCTAAGGAACCACAAAACAAGAGACTTAGAGAGGAGAGACAAGTAAAGCATCGTGGTGGTGGTAGCAATCGTAGCAAGAAGCCATACACCCAAGGTTAGGGCAGCAATGGCATGAGGCAGCAGAATCGGAGGATTTGTGATAGATGTGGTAGGTCACATTCTGTTGGGTATAATTGTGATGGCACAGCTCGAATATGCTTTAAGTTTGGCAAGCTTGGGCATCTCTTTGCACAATGTAGGTCTAAGGGACTGGGTCGTAGCAAGAAGCCATACACCCAAGGTCAGGGCAGCAATGGCATGAGCCAACAGAATCAGAGGATTTGTGATAGATGTGGTAGGTCACATTCTGTTGGGTATAATTGTGATGGCACAGCTCGAATATGCTTTAAGTTTGGCAAGCTTGGGCATCTCTTTGCACAATGTAGGTCTAAGGGACTGGGAGGTTAGTTAGTATCACAATCATTTTAGGGGCAAGGGTAGAGACGAACTTTTTATAGCAGTGGGTTTAACCAGAAGTAGAATAATGGAAAAAGTGGGACAACCCAAGGTCAGACACCCGGGAATGGGACTCAGGAAAAGAAGTTAGCGGCTACCCAAGGATGTGTTTTTGCTCTCCCTAGAGAGGAGGCTGAGGTTGCTCCATCTGTGGTGCAAGGTACACTCCTTATATCATCTGTACCTGCCAGAGTTTTAATTGATTTTGGATCTACACATTCTTTTGCTGCACCTAAGCTTCTACGTTGTTTGTCTATTTCTTGTGATCCTTTGGATGCATATATTGCTGTGTCTACTCCATTAGGAGAAACCGTAGTGTTAGGGGATGTTTGTAGATCTTGTGAGAAAGAGTTAGATGGTTGAATTTTTCCAGGGGATTCGATTCTTTAGAAATGGAGGATTTTGATGTGATTTCGGAGATGTATTGGTTAACGAAGCATCATGCCTCTATTGATTGTTTTAGAAAGAGGGTAGTTTTTGCTATGCCGGGGCAACATGAGTTCCTCTTTTAGGGAGATGGGAAAGGGTCTTCTATTTGTTTTATTTCTTCCCTTTAGGCTAACTGAATGTTGAGAAAAGGTATTTAGCTTGTGTGGTGAGTACTGAACAACCAAAGCAAAGGTTAGAGGAGTTGCCTGTAGTGAGGGAATTTGTTGATGTTTTCCCAGAGGATCTACCTGGTCTTCCTCCAGACCGTGAGGTCGAATTTTCCATTGACTTGGTCCCCAATACAACACCTATCTCTAAAGAACCCTATAGAATGGCCCTGTTGGAGTTGAGGGAGTTACAAACTCAGTTACAGGAGTTGCTAGACAAAGGTTTTATTAGCCCTAGTGTTTCACCTTGGGGAGCACCTGTGTTGTTTGTGAAGAAGAAGGATGGGTCTATGAGATTGTGTATTGATTATAGAGAACTGAACAAAGTCACAGTGAAGAATAGGTATCCTTTACCACGCATTGATGATCTATTTGACCAGTTGCAAGGAGCTCAAGTATTCTCTAAAACTGACTTGAGGTCAGGCTATCACCAGTTGAAGGTAAGGGATGAGGATGTTCCTAAGACTTCTTCTAGAACTCGTTATGGGCGTTATGAGTTCTTGGTGATGCCTTTTGGTCTCACAAATGCACCAGCCGCATTCATGGATTTAATGAACAGAGTATTTAAACCCCAACTTGATAAATTTGTGGTAGTGTTTATTGATGACATCCTAATTTATTCAAGGAGTAAGGAGGAGCATGAGCAGCATTTGTGGGTAGTACTGCAGATCCTTATGGAGAAAAGACTGTATGCAAAATTTAAGAAGTGTGAATTCTAGTTGAGTAATGTATCCTTTTTGGGTCATATAGTGAGTAAAGATGGGGTATCTGTGGATAGTACCAAGGTGATAGCAATTGTTGATTGGCCACGACCTACATCTGTGACGGAGGTACGTAGCTTTCTAGGGCTTGCTGGGTATTACAGACGGTTTGTGGAAGGATTCTCCCGTATTGCTTTGACACTTACCAATCTCACCAGGAAAGGGGTAAAGTTTGAGTGGAATGATGATTGTGAGCATAGTTTCCAAGAGTTTAAACAGAGATTGACATCAGCTCCAATCCTTGCCTTACCAACTGATGGAGGTGGTTTGTGATTTATAGTGATGCTTCACGACAGGGTTTAGGATGTGTGCTCATGCAGCATGGGAAGGTGATGGCTTATGCGTCACGACGGTTGAAAATACATGAGAGAAACTATCCTACGCACAACTTAGAGTTAGCAGCAGTGATTTTCGCTCTTAAGATCTGGCGGCATTATTTGTATAGAGAGTCATGTGAGATTTACACTGATCATAAGAGTTTGAAGTATATTTTCACACAAAAGGAACTAAATTTGAGGCAAAGAAGATGACTTGAGTTACTAAAAGATTATAATGTGAATATTTTATATCATCCGGGGAAGGCAAATGTGGTTGCAATGCCTTGAGTAGGAAGGTTGCAGTTCGAGATGTAGCTACTTTGTCTATTGAGAGTTGTTTAGTGGAAGACATGAGATGTTCGAGGCTTGAGTTTGTTACACCTGGTAATAGGGCTTATTGTAGTCAATTGATAGTTCAGCCGACCTTGAGAGAACGGATTCGTTTAGCATAGGAGATTGAGCCCTAGTGTGAGCGTATTAAAGGAGAGATGACAGAGGGTAAGCATGTAGACTTTGTGATTAGTGATGATGGGTTGCTTAGATTCCATAGCCGAATTTGTGTTCCTGCTAATGGTGATTTGAGGAAGGAGATTATGACCGAGGCACATAGTTCTGGTTATAGCGTTCATCCTGGAAGCCCTAAGATGTATCAGGATCTTCATGAACATTTTTGGTGGAATGGTATGAACGGAGATATTGCAGAATTTGTGGCTCAGTGTTTAGTGTGTCAACAGGTTAAGGTAGAACATCAGAAACCCGCGGGGAAACTACAACCCTTACCTATACTAGAGTGGAAGTGGGATAATGTTACCATGGACTTCGTGTGCGGATTACCTCATACTAGTAGTAATCACGATGCAGTTTGGGTAGTTGTGGATAGATTAACCAAGTCAGCACATTTTATTGCAGCTCGAATGAACTATTCTCTAGCTCGATTTGCACAGTTGTATGTGAAGGAGATTGTTAGATTGCATGTGCACCTGTGTCAATAGTGTCAGACCGGGACCCTCGCTTTGTGTCTAAGTTTTGCGGTGCGTTACAATTAGCTATGGGTACTCGGTTAAATTTTAGTTCAGCTTATCACCCTCAGACAGATGGGCAATCAGAGAGGACTATTCAAGCCCTTGAGGATATGTTGAGGGCTTGTGCTTTGGAGTGGAGAGGTAATTGGGATGATTATTTGCTGCTCATGGAGTTTGCCTATAATAATAGTTATCATTCTAGTCTGGGAGTAGCTCCTTATGAGGCTTTGTATAGGAGAGAGTGTAGGTCTCCTTTGCGTTGGTATGAGGTTGCCGAGAGACAAATGTTGGGACTTGATTTGATGGAGGATGCTACACGGAAAATTATCACCATCAGAGAGAGATTATTGACTGCTCAGAGTAGTCAAAAAAGTTATGCTGATCATCGTAGGAGAGACTTAGAGTTTCATGTGGGGGATATGGTATTCTTGAAAGTATCACCATGGAAAGGAGTGATCAGGTTTGAAAAGAAAGGAAAGTGGAGTCCTAGATACATTGGTCCATTTGAGGTATTGGGGAAGGTTGGTGGGGTTGCGTACCGTGTTCTTCTACCCCCTAGATTGGCAGGAGTGCATAATGCGTTTCACGTGTCTACGCTGAGAAAATATGTGCACAGTCCATCGCATGTGATAGATTATGAGCTGCTTCAGATTAGAGAGGATTTTTCGTATGAGGAGATACTTGTTCAGAGTTTGGATTCGAAAGAGAAAAGGTTGCATACAAAGGTCATTAAATTGGTTAAGGTACTGTGTCGTAATCATCTAGTTGAATAGGCGACTTGGGAACGCGAGGACGAGATGCACCAGAAGTACCAACGTCTATTCTCATGATTTACTCAGGTTAGTTTCGAGGACGAAACTTTTCTTTTAGGAGGGGAGAATGTGAGAACCCGAATATAAAAATTAAGTAAATAATATAATAATAATATTACAATGTCAAATATTTTAGTGGTGAATACTAAAGTGCAAATTAAATATTTGGAAGGTCTTGTAATTAATTTTAAAACCTAAAATAAATTTAGGATAAAAGTCTTTAATTTAGAGGCAAGATTTATTATATAAAAAATAAATAAATAATTAAATTTAAGTGCCAAATTTGTAAGCATATTTTGATCTAATAATATTTGTATTTAATTTAAATTAATGGGGAGAGAAAATAAATTAAAACAAAAGATAATATTTTAGGGCCTTTTGTGTAGATACATATGTACCCTAGGTTGCCTAATACAATATAAAAACAAAACAAAACCCTACCTTCTTATGTGAGTAAGCAGCAGCCGTGTGGAAGAATTAACAAGAGAAAAGAGCGGTAGAGAAACGAGAGAAGGAAAGAGACGACAAAGGAATTGTTGGGTTTGCAGGTGTGTGTTTTCTTATTCTTTATATTTATTGGTGGATTGGCTATGCTATGAAGGAGTTAAAGAGAGAGGTATTAGTATTTAATAATGGATTTTCTTGTGTAAATGGGTTGCTGGGAAGTTTTTGGTTGCAATGGGTGATGGAAATTCTTGATCCTAAAAAAACATAAACTTTAAATTTTGTGGAATCATATCAAACGAATGAATTTTGAACTGAACTTTTTAAATTGGATCAATTACATATTGAATTGCATATCTGAATTTTTTCATAATTTTTGGGAGTCAAAATCCATATTAATTGAGGTATTCAAATCTGTCCAGGAAACCAGTCAGAAACAGTAACTTTCGAAGTGTTGTTCTCTTTGGGTATAAATCCAAAAATTATCAAATCAGCTTCATTAGAACCGGTTACGAGTCTAGTTTCTTACATTTTTTACCTTGCGTTGATTGCTCATGTATACTAAGAGAACCGTCAATTTCTTTAAAGTGTTGCAGAAAACAACTTGTTTGGATATAATAAGTTGTTGATAGTTATTTTGACAAGCAAATCAAGTAAAACCAATTGGGTTTGGAATTTAGGATATATTAGTTGATATCTGGAGGGTTTTAGAATTTTTCGAACAATGTGGAGTGGGTTTTTAATTTTCAAAGTTAGCGAATAGATTGGAAAAACTCTGTTTTATCTTAATGTCACTTTTAGTTAAGTTTCGATCGGAACCTATGTCTTGGGTGATTTTAGACCTTGATGAACATGAACTTAGGTAATATTTAAGAGTAACTGTGAGTTGGGTTGAGCCGTGTTAGTGCGCTTTAGTTTGGGATTACTTAGTTCTCATTCTTTAGTATTTTTAAATTAGTAGTGATGTGTAGTTTTCATATTGGTTCAGGGCACTAGTTGGAGTTTCATACTTTATTCGAGGATTATATTATATCGTTTTCAGGTGAGTAGTTTCATGCTACATATGTTTATAAATGTTCCCCCACCCTGAACTGTTGGAAAATTAAATTGTTGTTTTGTGACTAAACTGTTTTGATAAATTATTATATTATCAATTGAACCAAATTATTTCTGAAACATGTATGAACTTGGCATACTGTAAACTATTTGTTTTGGTCTCATGTTTATAATGATGAACTACCATGTTTTGCAAAACTGATGTGTATTGATTATTGGGACCATGTGTGTATTTAGTCCAGGGAAATTATTCCACTGTGTGTGGTGACTCTGGCCACTAGGGAACAGATCCCGGGTTGGGCCGTGATGACTCTAGTGCTCAACGATTGTAAGGAAAAGACCTTAAAAAAAACTA